TAAATTAATTTATAATTAAATCACCATTTTCTCATCAAATTTTCTTTTTTAAACGAAAATGACAGTTTCTCAATAACCAATCTCGCCAACCAAACAAATTCAAAGCATTTTCTCAGCATCCAAACACCCAAATTCAAAGCATTTTCTCAGCATCCAAACACCCAAACTATACCATTTTCCAGCCAAACAAATGAAAACCCACTAAGAATTGCTTCTTTGCCCAACTGCTTCTGTTCTTTCTATTTCCATTTTGAACATATAACAAACATATAACAAACATATAATGTCTTGGATAATCTCTTCGCAAATCAACATATAACAAAAAACAAAAAAACAAAAAAGTGGAGCTGGGTTCACCGAACCCAGCAGACATAGAGGAAGAAGAGGAAGAAAGAAGAGAAAGAAAGAAAAAGAAAAAGAAGAAAGAAGAGAAAGAAAGAAAAAGAAAAAGAAGAAAGGAAGAAGATGATCGATCGAAAGAGGGGAAGAAGATGGATCAAAAAAGGGAGAGGGGTAAATTTGTAATTTTTTATTTTTTTATTAAGGCAAAATTAGTTGATGAGTGGGCAGTGAATTGGCACTAACGTGGCTTAAAAAAAATTTCAGATCAACATTTTTTAAAATTATTTTTGCCACGTCATAAAATATATTATAAATAATGTTACATGAGCGAGTTAACGGTCCGAATTAACAAAAAGACTAACAGAGTGCATTTCATATAGTTAAAGGATCAAAAAAGTGCAAAAAATTGTTAAGGGACCAAAAATGTGCAACTCACTAAAGTTTAGGGACCAAAGTTAGCATTTAACCTATTAATAACCTTTGCTTAAAACAGAGGGCCAATTTCGGCTCTCTGCCGTGCGGATCTCCTCCCCGTTCCTCAATGAAGGTCGCAACCAATCATTTTCGAATCTTGTCTTTGTCTATACAACATTGACCAGCATTTTTGCAATTTACGCAATTTCATGGGTCTTTTTAGGAGCAAATGGAAGCAAAAACCATTTGTTGTCTTTTCTTTATTTACTCATTTTTTGAGTCAAACTGTAAAGCACATGGTCAAGAAAGGTAGACACTAAGACAACGAAGTCGCTTTTGGGAGTGGGGAATGATGACCAAGAGCGTTTCTGAATTATTTCTGAGGAA